TCTGTCCCTGCTACTGCTGCTACAGACCCTTTCCAAGTTATTTCCACAATCGCCCTCCTCACTCATCCTCCCATCCCCACTGTTCCCTAGCTCAGGTGCTTCTCCCCTTCTCACGCTGCCTCTGTCCCTGCTGTTACTGCTACTGATCCTCTCCCAGTAATTGCCAGAATTACCACTGTAACCACCCTGGTAACCACCATTATCATAACCTGCACCGTTTCCTAGCTCTGGCGCCTCTTCGCTGCTCACGCTGCCTCTGTCCCTGCTACTGCTGCTACAGATCCTCCCCCAGCTATCACCGCAGTCACCATTGTGGTTACCACCCTGATAACAACTCTGGTAACCACCACTATCATAACTCGCACCGTTGTTGGCCCTGTGAACCGTTCTATACCCATCAGCACTCCCTTTGCTACCACCATTACTGCACCGAGCCCAACTCCCTATAATGTCACCAGAACCGTACAGGACACCCTCTGCTCTTGCATCTGCAAGAGCGACTCCTCGAATCGAGTCTCTGCTGTTGCTGCTGGTTGCCACGGCACTACCAGATGAGTTAAGGCCATGCCTGCTGCTACCGCTGCCCCTCGCACTTCTGCTCCCGCTGCCGCCACCGCTGCTGCTGTTGCTGCTGGTAAAAGCGATACATGGGTTCGAGCCTCTGCTGTTGCTGCTGATTCCCACAGCATTGCCAAAAGGGCCTAACCCATGCCTGCTGCTGCTGCTGCCACTGCCCCTCTCACGTCTGCAGCCACTGCGCCTGCCACCGTTGCCGCCACTGCTGCTCCTACTGCTGGTCGAATCATTGCGAGGAATAGAGCCTCTTCCATAACCCTCCATTTCCACTGCACCATCCAGTGGGTGTAAGCTTCCCTCCTGTAATCCCCTTATCCTTCTGCCACTGCCAATGTCACTACTGCTTCGTGAACTAGCACACGGGATAGAGCCTCTTCCATAACCCTCCATTGCCATAGCACCAACCGATGGGTGTAAGCTTCCCTCCTGTAAACCTCTTATCCTTCTTCTCCTGCTGCTGCCACAGTCACTGCTGCTGCTGCTTGTTGACGCAGCACGGGGAATGGAGCCTCTGCTACAGCCCTGCATTGCCACTGCACAAGCTGATGTGTGCACGCTTCTCTCCTGTAAGCCTCTCCTGCTGCTGCTGCTGCTGCTGCTGACGGAAGCATGGCAAGAATGAGGGGAGAAGTGACTGGTTGGAGGATCAGCAGCAGTGACAGTGGCAGGGTTGGAACACGAACCTCCAAACGAGCTCTGGAGTGCATACAGACCGTGCGGATCCCAGACGTCGTCATGAGGTTCGTCAAGAGGTTCGCCAAGAGGTTCGCCAAGAGGTTCGCCAAGGCTTTTGGCTAGCGCCGGCAGTCTGGCCTCCTGTGCCCTGCACCAGCGCTGCTCTTCCTCCTCCTCCTCCTCCTCTTCCTTCTTCCACCGGTTTCGCTCCTCCTCCTTGCACCACCGCCGCTCCTCCTCCTCCCTCCACCTGTTCTCCTCCTCTGCTTCCTTGCCCCACCGCCGCTCTCTCTCCTGCTCCTCCTCCTCCTCTTCCTCCATTTCCTTCTCTCTCTGCTGGAAGAGCGGAAGGTGAGCAGGAGGTTGGGCAACGTCAAGGCTTCCGGCTAAGGCCGCTAGTCTCGCTTCCTGTGCCTTGCACCAACGCTGCTCTTCCTCCTGCTCCTGCCCCTCCTCCTTGCACCACCGCTGCTCTGCCTGCTCCTCCTCCTCCTCCTCCTCTTCCTCCTTGCACCAACGCTCCTCCTCCAATTCTCTGTTGTTCCCAACCTGAACTCTGCTCACCGCCTCTCCTCTCCAGGCGCCTCCGTTTTGCCGTCCCACGTTGCTACTGAAATCACCTTCCCGACTTGCCTCTTCCTCTTCCGTTGAGTTATTCCCAGCCTCTTCAAGTGACAGAACCGCTCCGCTTACCTCCTCATCATCCCCCCTCCCGTCAATCCCCCCGTTTTGCCTCGCAGTGTTACCACCGAGAGCGGTTTCTTGCGAGTGGTTACCACATGAACGAGCTTCGCGCACGTGGTTACCAGCTGACGTCCAATGCCTCGCATGGTTACCATTGGCTGCTTTAGGCGAAGCCAGAGGGTTTCGACCACCGTGCACAGGTGACAGTAACCTCGGCCTGAACCTGTGCATTCTGCCCGTCACTCCTGCTGCTGCGGGTGGTTTTGCTGCCGTTCCTACTGCTGCTGCTGTTGCTGCTGTTCCTCCTGCTGTTCCTCCTGATGTTCCTCCTGCTGCTGCTGCTGCTGCTGCTGCTGCTGCTGCTGATCCTGAAGCCGATGCTACTGCTGCTCTAACTGCTGCGGGTGCTGCTGGTGATGCTACCGACGCTGTTGCTGCTGCTCCTTCTGCTGCTTGTCTTGTTGCAGCCAAAGGTGCTTCCCTCAAGCCCGAATAGCCATTCCCTCCCTTTCCTCTTCCAATCCCACTCCACGAACTAGCCACCAGCGGCATCTTTTGAGACGTCTCAGAGCTTGCTGCTGTAACCAGTGCTGCTCTTTTATCCTGAGAACCATTCCCTCTTCCAACCCCGCTCCAGGAACTAGACAGCAGCGGCGGTTGTTCCATCTCAATCTCCTCCATCTCCTCCTCTTCCTCCTCCTCTTCCTCCTCCTCTTCCCCCACCTCCTCCCCTCCCCCTTTCCTCCCCTCTCCCAACGCCATTCCTATTTCCTCCAGGACAGGAGCGGTCGGACAAAGGGGAGAAGTAGTGTGGCCGTAAGCTGAGGTTGCCTCTTCCCCTCTTCTTCTTGCTGCTTCTCCTCTCGTTGCCCCGATCCCCCTCGGCTCTTCCGCCGCCCCAATCCCGCGCCCTCCCCCGACTCCTCTCCCCCTTCCCCCGCCCCACCCCGCTCCGCTCGCTTTTGTTCCGCCTCCCGTCTCCCCAACCCCCATCTCCGCCCCTGTCCCCGGTTTTATCCCCGCCCCTGTCCCCGGTTTTATCCCCGCCCCTCTCCCCATCCCCCTCCCCGCTCCCCTCCCGGCTCCCCGTCCCACCCCCAGACTCCCCCTTCCAACCCCACCTCCCTCCTCTTCTACCGGTTTCCAGCCGCTTTCCGTGAACACATATAGCGGCCGGACGCCTGCCTGACGGTTAGCCGTCCCCTCTACTTCCGCCTGCTCAACTTTTCGCCTGCTATTGACGTGACTGCCGCCGCTGTTACCGCCGATTTTTCCGTCGTTGCTGCCGCCGTTATTCCCCCCGATATGGCTGCCGTTATTCCTGCCTGTATTGACGCCACTATTCCCCCTGTTACTCGTGCCGTTATTCCCGGCGTTATTACCCCCCTTATTACCCCCATTACCTCCACCGTGGTTACCAGTATCGCCGTTGCCGTCGCCGTCGCAAATGCCGTCGCCGATGCCTCGGCGAAACGCCGTTCCGTGCTGCCGGGGCAGCGGTCGCGCGTAAGGGTCGGGCATGGCGCGGTAAAACGCCGACTCCGCGGAAGCCGGCGACGCTTTTTGAGGCGCCGCGTAACTCGTCTCAATACGCGCGAACGGGCTTGCACGCTCACCCACGGTCGCTCCGCTTCTGTCGCCTCCGCTTCTGTTGCCTCCGCTTCTATCACCTCCGCTTGAACCTCCAAGACCTTTAAAAGCACCTCCGCTTATATCATCGACTCCCCGTCTGTACCTTTCGTCGGTGCTGACGGACGGGCCAGACGGCCAGTTAACTCCCACAGGGGAAGCGCTCGCCAAATCTGTCGCGGCTTGCGCGTGGCGACCACACGAAAAATTGTCAATCGAGCCGTTATTACGCGCCGCGCTTCGAGCTTCCCCAACATGTAACGCCTCTTTCCCGCCTAAAGCGTTGAAAAACCTCCTTCCTCCCTCCTCTCGCCTGTCCGAACTGCCACGGCTCCAACTCGCTTGCCTGGAGCTACTAGCATCACCAGTATTGTTATTATAACCTGTATTGCGAGAATTACTTCCCGGCGACGAACTTACGTTTTGAGAAGCCTCTAAAGTCGTGTTCCTCATGCTACTAGTAGCACCACTACTATTCGTGTTAATAGTATCACCATTCGTAGTGGCCCCAGGCAAGGGGCTCACTCGGCGAGAGTCCGCGAATTGCGCAACAGGCGGAGGAGCGGGGAAAGCAGGAGTGCGACTGGAGGTTAGAGCGGGGGAGGGAGGGGGGCGGTTGGCGCTTAGAATGGGGGAGGTGTTGCGGAGTCGATCCCACGTCGCGATCATGTGTCCGAGAGCGGTATCCATGTGGTTACCACGTAACCCTGATGCTACACGCGAGTGTACTACCTAGCAAACTGACGGAGTCGCCATGACGAGGCGCATTAGTACCTAGTATGCGCGATCGCGCTGCTTTCAGTGTGTTCGAATAATAGCCGCTCGGATACGTGAGAGCTAAGACGACGGCCTACTGCTGCTCGATTAAAGGTGACTCAACCACATAAGGAAAAAAATTTAAGGCGTTCCTAGAGTACTCAATTGACGTCGCCATTGAACTGCTCCCAAGGGGTACTTAATCCCCTCATGGGGCCTCCGTTGTGCGCTGAGACCACGACTTCCTTCTATTTGCGTCCGCTTTTCTAGTCCTATATCAAGAGCATATTATGGCTTTCTACTGGACAGGCCTGCTTTTTTTTCAGAAGACAGCGCGAACTGGGAGAGCTAACATTGATACGATTCGCGAGAATCGGTCGTCATCGCCATCCATCTTCGCACACATCGCGAACGCTCGTGTCCTAAACCTCAGACGCGCGTCAAGATACCATACTACCCTTTCGGGAACATCTTGGCCTCGTTTCTCGTAACAACTCTCCTGACAAGGAGATAAGCCACATCCTCTCGGAGGAAAAGAGGAGGTAGGAACATCTGCCGCCGTGCCTTGGGAATCCCGATTGTCATGCCTGCTATCGGATTCGGATATGCTTCTCGCAACCACATGTCGTGCACTAGTAGCTGCTGCTGCTGCTGCTTCCAGCGAGATGACTCGTCGCGCCATGCAGGCTCGCTGGGTCCTACCCGGTTCGTCGTCTTACGTAAGTGAACCCGCACCAGAACTTATGGTACGATATCCCACGATGCGTAGCTTCTGGTTGTAAGCGGCTCGCGCGATGATTGTGGGATCGACGAGGTGATTACTAGGTGATGGGGGCGAGATGGGCCCTACAGTTGGGAAATCGTCAACACCCCTAGCAGATGACGGAGCCTCGTTTGTGTCTCTGCACGAGAATGCGATGCGGTTCAACCTTGATGTGCACGACCGGAGGGGCGAAATTGGCGCAAGGCAAAACACGTGCTGACGTGCAATACTATTTTCTGGTTTGGATTCGACGAGCCTAGTTTGGTCCGCTGAACTAGGCTTGTTCACCTGACAAGACCATATGCCTGGTTCGATTTGCAGGGCATTCGCCATGCAGAGAGGTTCGGAAGGGAGCTGATTTGGCCCAAGTCACGACTAACCACCTTCGTCAGTTAGTGCTTTGGCTCGGTAAAAGCCTGAAAGGCATGAGGGGGCCAGCAAGCCAGCTTGACACTCGCGCCATACAAATTGCCGCAAAGCGTGGATTCGCAATTTCATTCACCTATGAAGTTGGAGATATGTATCGATAAACAGTTTGCGCGAGCCGTCCATTTCTTATATCGGGTAAATTTGACCGACCGGATAGCCTGACCGTAGACTACTTTCAACGCGAAATGTGTTCGGTGGACAGCGGGTTTCGGCAGGCAGCCTGCCCCACCACACTGTAGGTCAAACGTCACCGCCACGTGGCCTGCCCGGCAGTAAGGCCATCCCCATTTTTTCTGCCGCTCCTCCATTCATTCGCGACACGGAACGTTCAATGCGCGGCCCGAAAGCAGGGCGGATAAATGCCCACATTTTCAACATTTTGCACCACAGCACAGCTACCAGCTCACCACTATCTCAAACAGCTTTCTCAAATTTCCCAAGCCTGAGTGAAGTAGGCACTTACTCACTGCCTTCCTTTACCATCACTCACAGTACAGAACAATTTTCCAACCTTTCAGCATGGCACGTCTCTTCCCTCGTGCAGCTGTGACCCTGCTCCTCACCATCGCACTTGCAGGTTTGACATTCTCCATAACAGCCATGTCACATATATTTCCCTAGATGCATTGAATCTGCGCAATTCACCATAACATCCCTGTACAAACTGAAGGTTCCTCGCCACATCATACCTTTTCCCACCTTTTCATTTGGTGCCCGCTTACTGTTTCAGCAGCTGTTCTCCCTCCATCTGCCTTCGCTGCTCGCACTGGTCCTAGCATTGGCTCCAAGATCCTGGGTGAGTTTCATCACTGCAAAGCCCATCTTAAGCTTGAACAGTTTAATAACAAATTTTCTTGCGTCGAAGACAAGATCCCAGAGCCTGTTGTTCATAGTTTTCCTGCTCTACTGTCTCTGTTTCTGTCTCTGTTTCTCTAGCTTCTCTCCATGGAGCCCTAGCCCCTTGTGGTGGGACAAGCGCCGACGTCAGGTCCAACATTGATGGCACGGCTGACATCAGCATTCTCCGAAGGTACTGTGAACCTGCGTTGTTGTATGAACTCCATATGAGCATTGTTTCAATGGCGGTGTACCCTCTCCTTGCAAGCTCGTCCATCCCCCCCTTCTTCTATTCTTCAATATAATTATTGCTCTCAAACACCTTTTTTCTCCATTGCATGATATCTCAGGGGAGCGTCAGTGTACCTTGCATACAAGATCAGAGCACAAGGCATAGCCCTGCAGCCCTCCTCTCCCCCAGCTATCCTCCCTCGCAGCCCCTGTACTAGCACCTCCCTCTCCTCCACTCCGCTTGCTGCCTCGACTAATGTGGGCACTGGTGCGGGCGACGACACACGCTCGGCAGGTGCCCGAGCCAGTTTCGGAGGCTCGCCAAGCCTGAATGTGGCTCCTGCTGGTTTGGTTTCAGATGTGGCTGGAGGGGTTTTTGGTGTGGGGAGGGCAGCAGGGAGTGTCGCAGGCTCTGCAGGGAAGGCTGCAGGCTCGGCAGCAGGCTTGGTGGGTAGTGTTGCTGGGTCGGCGGTAGGCACTGCAGGGAAGGCAGCAGGGTCGGTGGGAAGCCTTGCAGGTTTGGGAGCAGGCTTGGTGGGCAGTGGTGCAGGCTCAGCAGTGGGCGCTGCAGGAAAGGTGGCAGGATCTGCAGGGAACCTTGCAGGCTCGGCAGCCGGGGTGGCAACCAACCTTGCAGGTTCGGCAATCGGCACTGCTGGAAAGGCAGCAGGATCCGCAGGCAGTCTTGCAAGCTCGGCAGCAGGCTTGGCAGGTAATGCTACAGACTCGGCGGTTGGAACTGCCGGGAAGGTGGCAGGTTCAGCAGCAGGCTTGGTCGGCACCATTGCAGGCTCGGCTGCTGGAACTGCAGGTAAGGTGGCAGGCTCTGCTGGGAGGCTCGCAGGCTCGGAAGCCGGGTTGGTCGGCAACTCTTCTGGTTCGGCAGCAGGCTTGGTCGGCACTGCTGCAGGCGCGGCGATTGGAACTGCAGGGGGGGCAGCGGGTCCGGCAGGGAACCTTGCAGGCTCGGCAACAGGCTTGGTGGGGGATACTGCAGGTTTGGCCACTGGCACTGCTGGTAAGGCTGCAGGCTCGGCCGCAGGCTTGGTTGGCAACACTGCAGGCTCACTAGTTGGCACCGCAGGAAAGGCAGTTGGTGCCGCAGGGAAAGCAGCAGGCTCGGCAGTTGGCTCGGTGCCTTCGGTCCTGACTCCTCTGGTGGTCCTGCCTGGTGCTTGGGTGACTGCAGCAGGCAACGTCAATGCTGGCGCTACTGCGGCCACTGCTGCTGGTGGTGGTGCGGCTGCCACAGCTGCTGGTGCTACGACTGTTTCTGCGAATGCTGCGGGCGACACTGCTTCAGCTGTGAATGCGGCGGCGAACACCATCTTTGCAATGGCTGGGGAGATGCAGCTGTCTTCCTCCCTCGCTGCCTCTCTGCTTGCTCGCATCTCCTCCTCCACACCTCTCTCCCTCCTGCTCCGCCTTAATGGTCAGCAGAGTCTCGTTGCCGATCTGCTGCAGTGATACGGATGAGGGACAAGGGAGTTGCAGAATCTTAAAGACAATTGCAACTTTACATGGCAGAATGGGATTGATTGTTGAGATGGTGCATTGTGGTGTGCTCGTTGCTGTTGGTAAGCTTGAGTTGTTTCTGTTCAGGGTGTATCTTCGGTTTCATGGATACGATGCTGGTACATGATTCGTATGGCTTTATGGTGTGGGTCCTTGGGAATGAGAAGGTGGCTAATTTTGTCAGTGTGGGAACCCAGAGTGTACACCATGGTTGGGTCAAAGTGTATTGCAAGCACAGCGTGTGAATCTATTGCAATTACATGCTGCAACAGAGCTTGAGGAAAGAACGATTTCAATTATTTACATTTTAGCCACAATCTTGATAGCAAGTACATCCGACACCTATTTTCAGAACTCTTCACCTTTTATTTTGTTTCCTCGTCACAAACTACTCCTGTTGCATCCCATAACGAGGATGAGCTGGGCTCACTTTCAAGCCTTCAGACATCTGATAGGCTCTTTTTCCTCCAAATCGTCCTTCCCTTGTTGATTTCCGTCTTGCACTCCTGCGATCGCAACAGGTGCAGAAATTGCTGCATTCGCTGCTGCTGACCAGCTTCCACCACCCCTTCAGCGTCACCAGCAGCAACAACAAGACTCCCATTTCCTCTCTCCCCTTCCAGCACAGCAACGCCATTCACACTTCCACCAGTGCTGCCAGCTGCACGAGATGCCACCTTCTCAGCTGCACCCCCCCCAGGTGAAACTTCAGGTGAAACTTCAGGTGAAACGATCTCCTTGGCGAGGGTTTCAACCACGTCATCCTGCCCACACTCCCGGCGATACTCAATGGTGATCTCAGCCAGCTCGTATGATCCCAGGAGGGACTGGGGCAGGCTCTGTTGGGGAAGGGAAGTGATGGGAAGAGCAGGGGACAGAGGGAAGGAAGAGCACATAAGGAAGGCTGATGTGCGGCTTATGATGGACTGGCTCCCATGTCATCCTGCCGGCACTCGCGGCGATACTCAATGGTGATTTCAGCCAGCTCGTACGATCCAAGGAGGGACTGAGGCAGGCTCTGGTGGTGAAGGGACGCAAAGGCATAAGTGGAAGGGAGGGGCATGTGGAGGGAAGAGGGAGGTTAACTTGGCGAAAGCCTCAACCACATCATCCTGCCCACACTCCCGGCGATACTCGATTGTGATTTCAGCCAGCTCTGACGACCCCAGGAGTGATTGGGGCAGGCTCTGGCGGTGAAGGGACGCAAAGGCATAAGTGGAAGGGAGGGAACCGATCGAGTCAAGAAAAGTGGGCCATGATAAGTGTGTTCTAACTAAATGCCTCGCCATCCCGCCCACTCTCCGGACGATTACCATGTGGTGCAGGTGACGTTGTTGACAAGGCCATGAATGCCCAAATCTCATCGAGTCAAGTCAAGACACCCTACGCAGCCCAGCAACCCTCCTCAAGCAACCCAGCTGCACACCCCAAGAAGCACAGCAACGCACCTCGAGCATCCATGCGATGTAGGTCACGTTGTTGACATGGTGATTCATGTCCAAATCGCTGCGCCTCGGCTGTTAGAAAGTCAAATGCCAGGGAAAAACACGAAAGGGTTCAAATTGGATTAGGGGGGTATGAGGGGTTGAGGTATGCGTTATGGTAACAGGTGTGTTATGGTGCGTGGTGCATAGTGCATGGGGCATGGGGCATGGTGCATAGTGCATGGTGCGTGGTGCGTGGTGCATGGTGCATGAAAGTAGGGGGCTTACTTGGAGGTATGGTCGCACGTGGTCTGCTGGCTCTTCCAGCTTGCGAGTAGAAGGCACGGGGCATGGTGCATGGGGCAAAGGGCATATAACTATGGAGGCTGGGGTACCGTATATGGGGATGAGAGACACAAGGGACTTACCCGGAGGTACGGTCGAACGTGGTCTGCTGGCTCTTCAAGTTTGTTGATTTTTGCAACGCTGTTCTTTGGGATGGAGAACCTGGAGAGGGGGAGCAGCACGAAGGAAAGGGAGGGAGGGAGGGACAGGAGGAAGCATGTGTGAGGAATTTGAACAGTCACCTGGGCTCGATATAGGCTGACTCGATATAGGCCGACTCGACATAGGTCGACTCGATATAGGCCCACCTGACATAGGCCCACTCCATCTTCCTACCTGATATAGTATCCTAGTCCCAACTACCTTTCAGTGTTGGGGCAGTGCGCTGTAAGCTCGAGATAGTCCCTGTATAGTCTCACTCGATACAATCCCATCGTCCTATCTTTTAGGGCTGGGGCAGTGCACCATGAGCTGGATATGGTCCCATCCCATCTTCCTACTCGATATAGCCACACTCAGTATAGTTCCACCTACCTCTCAGGGTTGGGGTAGTGCACTGAGAGCTCGATATAGTCCCTGTATAGTCTCACTCACCATAGACACATCCCACCTACCTCTCAGGGTTGGGGCAGTGCACTGTGAGCTCGATATAGTCCCTGTATAGTCTCACTCACCATAGACACATCCCACCTACCTCTCAGGGTTGGGGCAGTGCACTGTGAGCTCGATATAGTCCCTGTATAGTCTCACTCAGTATAGACACATCCCACCTACCTCTCAGGGTTGGGGCAGTGCACTGTGAGCTCGATATAGTCCCTGTATAGTCTCACTCAGTATAGACACATCCCACCTACCTCTCAGGGTTGGGGCAGTGCACTGTGAGCTCGATATAGTCCCTGTATAGTCTCACTCACCATAGACACATCCCACCTACCTCTCAGGGTTGGGGCAGTGCACTGTGAGCTCGATATAGTCCCTGTATAGTCTCACTCAGTATAGACACATCCCACCTACCTCTCAGGGTTGGGGCAGTGCACTGTGAGCTCGATATAGTCCCTGTATAGTCTCACTCACCATAGACACATCCCACCTACCTCTCAGGGTTGGGGCAGTGCACTGTGAGCTCGATATAGTCCCTGTATAGTCTCACTCACCATAGACACATCCCACCTACCTCTCAGGGTTGGGGCAGTGCACTGTGAGCTCGGCGCGCACGACAGCAGGCACCTTGGAGAGACGCCTGGTGTCGCGATTCATCATGGCCCATGAGCTGAGGAGAAGGGAGGTGGGAGGGCAGGTGGGGAAGGGTGCGCAGGAGGGCGGAGTGGAGGGTGAGGATAAGAGGCAGCACGTCAGGGGGCGCCTTGGAGAGACGCCTTGTGTCGCGATTCATCATGGCCCATGAACTGATGAGAGAAGAGGGGGGAGTAGGGGAGAGACAGGTGGGGGGGGAGAGTCGAGGGGGAGGATAAGAGGTGGCACCTTGGATGGAGAGATGCCTTGTGTCGCGATTCATCATGGCCCATGAACTGATGAGAGTGGGAGAGGGAGGTTAAGGGGAGGGAGGGTGCGCAGGAGGGAAGAGTTGGAGGGAGGTACCAGACGTGTAAACTGGTCTTCACTGGGCACCTTGGATAGGCGCCTTGTGTCGCGATTCATCATGGCACATGAACTGATGGTGGGAGAGGGAAGGCGCAGGGAGGAAGGGGCGTGTACATGAGTGCAAGGGTGACACCTTGGAGAGATGCCTGGTGTCTCGATTCATCATGGCCCATGAACTGATGAGAGAGGGGGATGGGAAAGGGGCGGTGTGGGAGGGTGCACATGGAGAGCAGTGGAGGGGATGGATTGAGGCGGGCACGTCCCTAGGCACTTGAAGAGGCGAATTGTATCGCAATTCATCATGGCCCATGAACTGATGGGAGGGGATTGGTGGGGGGATGTGCGAGCAAGAAGGGATGCGCAGGGGGGGGAAGTGGGGGGAATGTAAGGGGCAAGACCGCACCGAGCCACATCAACCGCACCGAGCCACATCAACCGCACCGAGCCACATCAACCGCACCGAGCCACATCAACCGCACCGAGCCACATCAACCGCACCGAGCCACACTGAGCCCCACCAAACCCGGCTTAGCCACACCGAGTCCCGCCGAGCTACACCGCACCACACTGAGCCACACTGAACCCCACAGAACCGCCCCTAGGCATACCAACCTCCACCGAGCCCCACCTGGTGCCTCGGCCGATGACCTCCCCGGTGTGGCCGAAGCGGATTATCCAATCACGTCGCGACATGATGGTGGGTTAACATGATGGTGGCCAGTCTAGCCCAACCGATCCCCTCCGAGCCACACCAAGCTGCACGGGGCCACACTGAACCTCACAGAGAAACACAGGACCACAAAGCCACACCGCCCACACCAAGTGTTACCTGGTGCCCCGGCCGATGACCTCCCCCGTGTGGCCGAAGCGGATGATCCAATCACGGCGCGACATGATGGTGCCGTCTTGGAACCACGTGTCAATCTCCACCACGTCACCCCTGCCACGTGGCAGCGTGACAGCCAATCAGGAAGGAGGAAACAGGAGGTGTCAGTAGTGCACAGAGACAAGAAACAGGGGTATCAGGGAAGCGTCACTGAGAGGTTACAGCTCTGTCTGACTGTGAAGGGAACAGAAAGGTCTAGGTGAAAAGCGTGAAAAGCGAAAGAGAGAAAATCGGGCGAAAGGCGGACTCGCACGTACCATTTGGGGTACTTGTACATCTAGATGAGCATGCCAGTGGTAACCAGATCAGGTGATTTGCGAGAAAAATTCAGAATACACCCAAAAATCACCTACCACTTGGGGTACTTGTACATCTCGCTGTGCATGCGGGTGGTAACCCAGTTCAGTTAATTCGCGAGCAAAATTCGTCAGAGTACACCCGAAAATCACCTACCATTTGGGGTACTCATACATCTCGATGTGCATGCGAGTGGTAACCCAGATGAGGCGATTCGCGAGCATCGCTGGCGTGGTGGCGAATCCGTCGTTGGAGAACCCCACGCTCTGCGCGTGGTTGCACCCTATCTCCTGAGAAGGGGCAGGCAGGGGTCAGGTGGAGTGATGGGGTCGTACGGAGGGTTGACTCTTTGAGTTGACTGAAGAGTTACTCGTTTGAAAACCCCACGCTCTGCGTGTGGTTGCACCCTATCTCCTGGCAAGGCCGCGTTATGACGCAGTCAAACACAAACATACGCACACACACACACACACGCCCGCGCACGCACACACGCAACCCCCCTGCCCCCCTCTTCTCCCCCCCGCCCCTCCCTCACACACACACACGCACACGCACAGAGCGAGGTTTAAGGGACAGACAACGATGTGGAACCAGCAGGTAAGGGAGTGGGGGGGGGGTGCTGGGAGAGACGGTGGGACACGGAGTGAAGGGAGTAAAAGTGTTGAGAGTGAGAATTGAGAGGGAAAATTGCACTCAGTAGATTTTCCTAGTGAGGGTTTACCTGCAGGAGATTCGCGATAGTTTCCATAGAGGCCTTTCGATTAACGCCGACTTCGTAGCACCGGATGACGAACCGCTCCCTGTACACGAGCCCACCGTCGATTAATCCGCCGCGTATGGCGGCCGCATCGTCCTCCGCGCTGCCGCCCTTTCCGTACGTCCCGTTCACTTCCGGCGCGAAATCCGCCTCGAAATCCGGGACCGCGATCACTCGGTCCCTGACGGCGCCGTTCTGTGATTGACTGCCGGGAATTGCGGCCGCCGGTCCCGCTGCACTCGCCGATGCCGATCGGACCGCGATTAGAGAAGGGGAAGACGGTGGCAAATATGAGGTAGAGGCAGTGGTGGTGGTGAGCGTGGAATCGAGACGAGGAAGGAAGCTGGAACGCAGCGAAATCGACGAGTCGTGAGCGGATTTTCCGGCGCGAATCGCGGCGCTACTACTAGCGGGGGTAGCCACCGCGTTACTGGCGCCGGCGCCGGTTGCGGATCCGGCGTGGTGAAGAAGAGCGGAATACGTTTGGATCGAAGTCATGGCGGCTCTATTTTTGGAGTCGTAATGATTTTGTAATTCTTTGGAAAAAAACTGTGAAGTGCCGAACAATTGTCTAGGTGAAGGTCGGAGTCGATCACTGAACTGCGGACGGTGGGTCTGATGGAAGTAGGGGACTGTGATTGTCGAACCAATCAAGTGCTCAATTCACAGCAACCGGGAGTTGATCCGTCGACAAAAGATGGCCGATTCGGGCTCGTGGTGCACGAAACGACAAGGACCTAAAATTCCCGTTCCGGAGGAGCACAGGCTTGGAAGAAACAGACGCGCAAGAAGCACTGAATGTGGCGGAGAAGCAGAGGCGTTGCGACCGGGAACAGTCTGTCGAACAGTAGTAATCAACCGAAGAAAGAATGGCGGTCAAGGAACGGAGGTTGAGAAGAGGAGCAGATTCCGGAAATTATGGCGGACCGAGAAACAACAGCTAGAGGAATTATGCTTAGTTTGAGTCTGTTATGTATCCTCTCCTGTTCAGAACGCACTACCCGAGGGAGACGAGGGGCCCGGGGAGAACAGAAGGGTGTGATTTGTGCAAACGGGCAGTTACATAGGAAGTTTGCTGAGTCTTATTCCAAATGCGCCGTCCGATCGAGCGTTTCCCAGCTCATCGACGGCGAACCGAAGAGCACAGAGGTTTTCCCTCGAGGGAATTCGTGGTTGCAGATCATCGGAAATTGTGTGGTGGGGTGATCATCGGTTTGTTTGGCTGCCCTTCCAAACGGAAGCACCCCTTCGACATGATCAAGGAGCGCCGCGCCGGCTGGATCCGTCAGCCGCCAACTCTAGCCGATTGTACGACCTCAATTGTAACAGGTGTCAACCAATCAAGCAACGAATGACTTGCGCTAAATCAGTCGTTGGCGACAAAAAATGCATTTCGTGAACCGATTGGCGTGAAGTTATTGACGGGCTGTCGGCTGATTGACAAAATACTAACCTCTCATTGGAGGGGCGTCAAGCCGCCGATTGACGATCGAGGTTAGAATAACCGAACACGTTGCGACTTGTCGCCTCTGATTGGAAAATGACCTCTGTCGGCCGTCAGCTCAATTTTGTACATTGCATCATGCGTAACTGCGCACCATCCGAGGCTGGAACAACACTGTCCAAGCTCCGAGCACGCCCCCCTCACCGTTCAATCAGCGCAATTCACGGAGAAAAGAACGATAGCTACACGAGATAGTGTAAACAAACTACAGAAGAAAACGATTTAGACTGTTGTATGCAACATGGGATGTCTTTTGAAGCGTATGCATTCTACGCAGCATCCAACCCGGGCAAATCTTGAAGGCTCCAGTAGCATCTAGAAGCTAGACCGAGATAGGAACTTTCAGTCTCCTCCAGATCGGCCAGTGGAACTTTCGGTCCACTCCAGACCAGAGCCTTCTGAGATCATCCAGAAAGCATTTATTCTTGCTGTCCCTTTAAAGGACGTCCGATCGTCAATCCACCAACTTCCTCCCTTTTCACCATCATACTTCAATCGTGATTGATCACTGTCCTCCAGCTCCTTCCGAGCTATTTGCTTCAGAACGCTAAATCGTCAATCCTCATATCGTCAGCTGCACTTTAAAGAGCAAGCGAACACGTCGCCATCGCTACCTACCACTGCGTTCCAGACGTATTTCGTCATCGTTAGTTGACTACTTTTCTCTCCCTACGGAACCATGCACACCTTCGAGGACGGAAGAGAAGAGGTCGAGGTTCGAATCCCGCTGCCGGCAGAGATCAAGGCTTCAGATGTTGCTAAACGCTTGTCCATCGACATACAGCCGAGCTCCGTCAAGGTGTGATACCTCGTTGAACCCACTCTTTACCTACATTGCACCACAATGTACAATTTTCACCTGGATTGCACCGCCTGGCACTCCTGATACTTCCGAATCCATCTTTACACTTCCATCTCTCCTCGCCTTTCTCTTCATGTACCAAACGATAAACGTTTACCCAAAGCCCGTTTGTCATTATCTACCAGCTGCCGTTGTAACTAGTAGCCCGCTCTTACTCATATGCTTATAATGAATATCCATTGCCGCATTCAACCACTGCATTGTGTCACATTCTACTTAGTTGCATAGTAAATCAAATATCCTTCCACATTGTGTGGTCACAATCACAATCTCACGCGATTTTGATTTTCCTCCTTGCCAGGTGGCTTGGAAGGAAGGCGCTGCAGCGCCCCTCTTGAACGCTCCAGATCTGTACGAGAAGATCCGACCGTCCGATTCAGCCTGGTACATCGACGGCTCCACGCTCGTCCTGACCCTGTCGAAGCAGCACCCGCAGAAATGGCCCGCCCTGACCGACACCGAAGCCTTGGAAAAGAGGTTCGGACCCATCCGAACCTCCCCGGACAAGGCCGCAGGTTCGGCAGCAGCAACAGCCTCGGCAGCAGCCGTGGGGAATGGAACTGCTAAAGCAGGCGCGGAGCAGGCAGGGGCGGGGGGAGGGGGGAACGCGGAAACGGGGAAGGCGGAGGGGAAGGGTGGGGATGGGGCAGGTGAAAAGAAGGACGGGGCGGCGGCGTGGGCTGCCCGGGAAAAAGTCAACCGGCTGCTGAAAGCTGCCCAAGACGGTGATGTGGAGGGGTTGAAACAAGCTGTGGCTGTGATGATCGCGGATGGGAAGGCGGAAGGGGACGGGAAGGTGAAGGAAAAGAAGGAGGGAGTGGAAATGCTTTCAGAGTTTGATGTAGATGAAATTGTTAGTAATGATACTGCTGCTGCCGCTGCTGCTGCTGGGGATGCTGCTGGTGATGCTGGTGTGGGTGACACTAACGAGGGGAAGAGTGTGCTTGCAGTGGAGGAAGCGAGGGAGGTGCTGGAGGAGGTGAGGGACGCCAATGGCCGCACGGCGCTGCACTTCGCAGCTAGCAAGGGGCACGTGGACGCGTGCAGGTACGTACCTGGTGGTGTTGGGGCGATGGGCGGGCCTGTTGAGGAGCCTTAGACCTTGAAACCCTGGATGCGAGGAGGTGAGGGACGCCAATGGCCGCACGGCGCTGGAATTTGTAGCCAGCAAATGAGTCTATTTGTCTGTACGTTTGTATGTGTCTATTTTTCAACCTGCAGGTACATGGTGGAGGAGATAGGCGTTCCAGTGGATGTGAAAGATGACGAGGGGGAGACGCCGCTGATGCTGGCAGCGAGGGACGACCACTCAGAGGCTGCCACGTGGCTGGTTGAGCACGGGGCGGCTGTTGCCACGTCAGCAGAGAAGTCAGGCGCGCAGGCGATACATCACGCAGCGGGGCATGGTGGGTGATAGCTGCGTTGTTATACGTACACTTTTTAGAACCACGGGTAATCAGTCTGGTGTATGTTATTGTTGTTGCTGTTGCTTGTAACTTTTTCCTTTTGAGCTCCTATTGACCAACAATAACGAACCTAGTGCTCCCTGACAACTCCCTAATCTCCTTCGCAGGTTCGGTGAAGATCCTCGAGCTCCTATTGGACCACGGCGCCGACCCTAACGCGCAGAGCGACGCCGGGCCTCCGCTGCTGTGGGCGTGCGGGCATGGGAAGGTGGCTGCAGCAGAGGTGCTTCTAACGAGGGGAGCCAATCCAGACACGCCCAACGAGGATGGGGTGAACTCGCTACTCACTGCCACTGCTGCTGGGGAGACTGAAATTGTGAAACTGCTGCTCAAGGTAAGTAGGTTGTGGGTTCGGGTTCAGGTTTGGGTTGAGGATGGCGTGAACTCGCTCCTCACTGCCACTGCTGCTGGGGAGACAAAAATCGTCAAGCTATTGCTCCAGGTACGATTGAGATAGGTAAAGGGCACAGGAAACTTAAATTCCAGACCCGCTTAATGAGGATGGGAAGAGCTCCCAACACTCCCACCGTCTCCGCCCTCCTTGCCGCCGGTGCTGCCGCCAACCTTCTTAACCCTCTTGTTTGAACCCCCCCATCCTGTTTCCCCTTTGTGTTTGTCTCAGCACGGTGCACTTGCGGTCCCCATCTCCCCACCAACGCTGCTGCTGCCGCCGCCGCTGCCAGTGCCAACGGCACTGTTGCTGGCCGTTGACACCTCCCCTCTCCCCTGTGTCACCTCCACCACGCCTCTCATTGTTGCTGCCGACGCCGGCAACACACCCGCCGTCTCCGCCCTCCTTACCACTGGTGCTCATGCCAGCCGTCCTAACCTTCTCCCTTGAACCCACTACTTCCTATTCCCCTTTCCTCCTTCCCTCTCCCCTTTCCCACAGCATGGGGCTCAGCCCAACCCAGGCGGTCCCCCTCTTCCCACCAACTGCTGCTGCTGCTGCTGCTGCTACTGCCAATGGAAACAGTGCTGCTGCCCCGTCCTCCCCTCTCCCCTGTGTCACCTCCACCACGCCTCTCATCGTAGCTGCTGACGCCGGCAACACACCTGCCGTCTCCGCCCTCCTTGCCGCCGGCGCCGATGCCAACAAGCGGGACGAGGACGGCATGACTGCTTTAGACGCCGCTGCTGCTGCGGGGAATAAGGAGGTTGTAGAATTGCTGCTGCCGGTGACTCAGCGGCCTGCTGACGTGGCGGAGGGGGATTGGACGGTGGAAGGGGTGATGAAACGGGCGGCGGGAGCAGGAGGAGCGGGAGGGGGAGGAGCAGGAGGAGGGGGGAAGGGAGAGGAGGCGTCAGCAGGAGGAGGAGGGGGAGCAGGGGGGGTAGGTGCAGCACCCCCTGGGTCTGCTCTGTCTGCGGAAATGGCTGCAGCAGTGGCAGAGGCGAAGGCAAGAGGAGACGCAGCATTCAGGTCACAGCAGTTTCAAGAGGCTGTTGATGCTTACACGCAGGTATGTTATTGTGTGTGTGTGTGTGTGTGTGTGTGTGTGTGTGTGTGTGTGTGCGTGCGTGCGTGCGTGCGTGCGTGCGTGCGTGCGTGCGTGCGTGCGTGTGTGGTTGTGTATGGTGGGGGGTGGGTGTGTTGTCTTACAGCCGTCCATGCAGGCATGTGCGTCTGTGGCAACATTGTTCACAGATATGCTGCTGCAGCAGTGGTAGAGGCGAAGGCGAGGGGCAATTTTGTGTTCAGATCACCTCAGGGTCTGCTGGTCAATCGCAGTGTCAGCTGGCTGCGACTGGGACAGGAGGCGCCCCTCGCCCTGGCAGATGGGCAGATGAGTCATTCCTCCCCTCCACCCCTCTCCACCACCCCGCACCCCCCTCTCCAGGCATTGGATCTCTACCCCAAGGCAGACCTGGCAGAAGCCCCAGCGGACGACAGGGTGATGAAGGGCACTCTGCTGGCCAACCGCAGCGTGAGCTGGCTGCGCCTGGGACAGGCACCCCTCGCCCTGGCAGACGGGCAGACGGGCAAATAACCCCCTCTACCCCTCTCCACCACTCCAAACCCCCTCTCCAGGCCCTCGACCTGTACCCCAAAGCGGACCTGGAAGCGACACCAGCGGACGACAGGGTGATGAAGGGCACTCTGCTGGCAACCGCAGCGTCAGCTGGCTGCGACTGGGACAGGCGCCCCTGGCCCTGGCAGACGGGCAGATGAGAAAACAACCCCCTTCACCCCTCTCCACCATCTCAAACCCCACTCTCCAGGCATTGGATATGTACCCCAAGGCGGACTTACCAGCCATTCCAGCGGACGACAGGGTGATGAAGGGCACTCTGCTGGCCAACCGCAGTGTCAGCTGGCTGCGCCTGGACCAGGCGCCTCTTGCCCTGGCAGACGGGCAGATGAGCCGAGCTCTGCGGCCCGACTGGGCCAAGGCGTACTTTAGAGAAGGAACTGCATTCCGAGCCATGGAGGTGAGTGGTTTTGGACAAAGGAGAGTGCTCTGAAGGGGGAGGAAAGGGTGTGTGGTGGGATAGGCAGGCGCCTCTTGCCCTGGCAGACGGGCAGATGAGTCGGTCGCTGCGGCCTGACTGGGCCAAGGCGTACTTTCGAGAAGGCACTGCATTCCGGGCCATGGAGGTGAGTGGTTTTGGACAGAGGAGAGTGCTCTGAAGGGGGAGGACCCGACTGGGCCAAGGCGTACTTTCGAGAAGGAACTGCCTTCAGGGCCATGGAGGTGAGTGGTTTTAGGCAGACGGGAGTGTTGGGAGGGGAGGGAATGTGAGTGGGAGAAAAGGCGGCAGTGACCCCAGTTCGACACGACGTGGTTCACATTTTTCTTGCAGTGGAATGTGTGTGTGTGTGGGTGGGTGGGTGTGTGTGTGTGTGTGTGTGTGTGCGTGCGTGCGTGCGTGCGTGTGTGTGTGTGTGTGTGTGTGAGCATTTACTAGTTTTCTACGGGAAATTCATGTTTCCCTTGGTTGTGTTGCAGCGTTACGAGGATGCAGCGAATGTGTTCTTCGAGGGGGTTCAAGTCGACCCCAATAACATGGATCTCACAGCAGCATTCCAGTAAGTGATTAATTCACATAAACATGCACTCATGCAGCCTCTGAATTGTACCCTAGTTTCTTATGTATGTGTTTGGCTCCCTTCCTTTGTTTTTGTACAGGGAAGCGATCGAAGCCGGGCGCAAAGCACATAAAGAGAAGCAGGGGTCCCAGTCCTAGATGACTTCTAGACAGGCTCTAGTCTAGTGCTTGAAAGGACTTTTGAGGCGCCTCAAAAGTAGTCAAAGCACATAAAGGGCAGCAGGGGTCCCAGTCCTAGATTACTTCTAGACGGGCTCTACTGTAGCTCAGGCTCTAGTGCTTGAAAACAGGGCCCAAATTTCAAGGGTAAAATACCCTTTTTGCCCTGATGGTAGGCCGCTTTTTGGCAGTTACCCTTGTGAAATCAGGCTATGAAATATTTTACCCTAATGAAATCAGGATTCGTTGTAAACTACTCTGGTAACAATTTCGGTTACACTGGCTGTATCAGGGTACGGGCCCAACTACACTTTTACCGAGGATTCCGCCACAGTGCGCGCCAAGACAAAATTCTGTCAGAATCTAGCAGCAGGAAATGAATGAACTAGCAGCATGCAGGAGTACAAGTAGTAAACCCTAATTGGGCTGTACCCCATATGGGCTACCCCACTACAGCCTAGACAATATCCAGCATATATGTTTGACACACCCCCATAGGCAAAGTGGGGGAGAACAAGGGGTCAAACGACCAGTCAAGAGAAGCAAAGCAAGCTCAGGGTGGATCTCAACGTCACCACACATTCTGAGCACAAGCAAAGGGCCACAAGGCCAGTCCACATGCAGAGATATATATGCAACAATAACAGTACAGTGATGACTACCTAGCAAGAGCAGGCATGCATGTATATATATAGATCACAGTACAAGTTGAAACTACAGCAAGTGTGGAAACGTAGGCACAAGGCCTAACAGGGTACAAAAGCGCTGATGATCACCAGACGGAAGTGCCTTGGTGAATATATCAGCAGTGTTGGCCCGAGTGGCCACGTGACGAAGACGAAGCTGGCCTCGCTGCTGCAACTCTCGAGCCAGGAAGTAACGCAGAGCAATGTGCTTCGTTCTGTGCTCCAGTCTGTGCTCCTCACACAAGGCAATGGCAGCCTGGTTGTCGACGTACAGCACTGGAGGAGAACGAGGCTGCTCTCCCAAGTCAGTCAGCAGGTAGGTGAGCCAGCGTAACTCCTGTGCAGCCATGGCTGTGGCGTAGATCTCAGCCTCACAACTGGAGCTGAGAACTGAAGACGAGCGTGTAGAACGCCACGAAACTGAACCAGAGCCAAGGCTGAAGGTGTAACCCTGTGACGACCGCTGAGTAGCCAGGTCGTCAACCCAAGAAGCGTCTGAGTGCCCAGTGAGGACAACTGGGCTCGTCCCTCCAAGCACTAGCCCCATGCCTGATGTGCTGCACAAGTAGCGCAGTACCCTCTTAGCAGCAGCCATGTGCTCAGGTCGGTGCCGACCAGGAGCCACGTAGCGAGCCAGAAGACCAAGAGGGTACGCGAGGTCAGGTCGAGTGCAAGTCATCAGGTACATGAGGCAGCCGACTAGCTCTGGGTAAGGACCACTCGGCTCTACGGACTCGTCCGAAGGTGGAGCTGAGAGCGTGTGACCTGTAGCCAGAGGAGTGGCCTGTGCTGAAGACCAGGTGAAGCCGAAGCGCTGAAGGACCTGCTGCACCATGTGTGACTGAGTCAAGGTGATGGTGCGGCGTGCTCGGTCCCGGGTGATCTGCAAGCCAAGGTAGCTGCGCAGCTCACCCAAGTCTGTGCACGTGTGTCTCTTCTGCAGCTCCGACTTCACGTGGGCGAGAGCCTCAGTGTCAGCAGTGGCAAAAACCAAGTCGTCGACGTACACGAGGATGTAGAACGGCGGCAGTGAAGTGTCGGTGCGCAGAAACAGCGACGGGTCAGCAGTAGAAGGCGCAAACCCAAGAGCCGCAAGCGTAGTCCTCAGTGTGTCGTGCCACTCACGTGGTGCCTGGCGGAGACCGTAGACCGGCCGCCGGAGGCTCCACTGGGTGCCAGGAGGGAACGACCCAGTGAAGCCCGGGGGGCGGCGCAGCCAGATCTCCTCGTGCAGGCTGCCCTGTAAGAAAGCTGTGCTGAAGTCAAGAGAGTGAAGCTCGTAGTCACGGTGAGCAGCAACATGCAGCAGCACCCGAAGAGTGGTCATCTTCGAGGTGGGGGAGAAGGTCTGGAAGAAGTCAACTCCCTCTCGCTGACTGAAGCCTCGAGCCACGTAACGCGCCTTGAAGACAGGCGGAGAACCCGGCGGCCGCTTCACCCTGAAAATTCACATGCCACTGACGATGTTCGCCCCAGGTGGGGGAACCTCGTCAACATAGGTGCCTGTGGACTTCCAGGAAGCCATCTCTGCGTCCATGGCTGCCTGCCACTGAGAGGAGTAGGGACCCTCTATCGCCTCTGCGTAAGAGCGCGGAGTCGGGATGTCTGGTGCATCCGGGTCTCCCTCAGGGGCAAGTAGCGAGGACACAAGATGAGGTAAAGCAGCAGCGAGACACTGGAACTCCTCCTGTCTGTCCTCAAAGACGTCCGTGCTAAGAGCACACTCACCCCCGACGGACGGAGGACAGACAGACTCAGACTCAGTAACAAGACTGGCAGTGAAGTCTAGACGACAGGCAGCAGCAAAGTCAACAAGCTCAGCGACAAGAGCAGACGCAGCAGCAGACTCAAACGACGGGTCAGTGACAACTGTGGCTAGTAGACGCGTGACAGTAGGGTGCTCAGCACGAAACCGGTCAGACGCAGGGTCCGGAACGTCAGGCAAAGAGGATGCAGGAGGAGACGGCAGAGGAACAGGCTGCGGAGCAGAGGAAGGACGACGGACTACGAGGTGTGCGCTGGGGACAGCCGGCTGACGCGAACGAGGAACACGACGACCGGTACGACTAGGACGAACAGGCGAAACAGGACGCGACGCAGGCTCACGACGCTCAGCAGGACTACCAGTCTGCACAGTGTAAGGAGAAGGAGCAGGCAGCGGTGAGCCGGGCTGTAACGGAAGACCAGTAGACGACGGGAGAGTAAGAACCTGACGAAGAACAGAGTCAGACGGCGGCAGAGACGACGGAGACGGCGGAGCGAAGAACCGTCGTGTCGGCGCAGCTGCACCAGTACCAGCAGCTCCAGCAGCTCCAGTGCCTCCAGCAGCTCCAGTACCTCCAGCAGCTCCAGAAGCTCCAGTCCCAGAGCCGACACCTCCAGCCCCAGGGTCTCCAACCTCTGTGTCTCCAGCAGCAGCACCCCCAGAACCAGCACCTCCAGTCCCAGGGTCTCCAGCCTCAGTGTCTCCAGCAGCAGCACCCCCAGAACCAGCACCTCCAGTCCCAGGGTCTCCACCCTCTGTGTCTCCAGCAGCAGCACCCCCAGAACCAGCACCTCCAGTCCCAGGGTCTCCAGCCTCAGTGTCTCCAGCAGCAGCACCCCCAGAGCCAGCACCTCCAGTCCCAGGGTCTCCAGCCGCAGTGTCTCCAGTACGAGCACCTCCAGAACCAGCGACTCCAGCACCTCCAGTAGACAAAGGTCCAGCACCACTCCTAGCTCCAGCAGCGCGACGCGGACGGCGACCGTACCAGTCCTGCAGCTGCTGTGGGGTGAGAGGCACACGTGGACGAAGGCGGCTACTCCAAGGAGACCGCGCAACAGCAGACTCAGAACCCTCAGCGCCCGCACCCCCAACGGCTCCAGAACCTCCGGTGTCAGTACCCTCAGCACCTGCACCTCCAGCGGCTCCAGAACCTCCAGCGCCAGCACCCTCAGTAGCTCCAGAACCTCCAGCGTCAGTACCGCCAAGCTCAGCACCCCCAGACCCCTCACACTCAGGCTCAGCACCACCAGGCTCCACACCCTCAAGCTCCGCACCCTCAGGCTCAGCACCCCCAGGCTCAGCACCCCCAGGCTCAGCACCCCCAGGCTCAGCACCCCTAGAAGTAGCACCCCGAGAAGGACCACCCTCAGTAGGACCTGAGTCACCAGTGACCTCAACCGGCGCAGTCAAGGGAGGAGGGTCTACCTGAGAAACACCTGAAGGAGCAGGACCAGGAGTGGGGAGGGGGTCTACCTGGGGAGCACCTGGAGCGAGGAAGAGCGGCGGGGGGGGGAGCGGGGCAGTGCGGTAGGGGAAGAGACGGTAAAAGGGAACCGACTCGTCGAACGTGACGTCCTGAGACGCAAAGACACGGCGCGAGGTGGGATGGTAAAACTGCCAACCAGGCGCGTCAGGGACAAAGCCAAGGAAGACACAGGGAACAGCGCGGGCGGAGAGCTTGTCCGCGGTGGTATCGCGGACAAAGGCACGAGCACCCCAGACCCGGAAACGCGACGCATCACCAACCTTCCCCGTCCACAGCAGTGTGGGCGAGGTCTCCGGCAAGGAGACACGGGGCCAGAGGTTGAGCTGATGCGCGGCGTACCGGACCGCAAACGGCCACAGGAAATGGGGGGCAGCCGCATGGATCATGGAGGTACGAGCGACCTCCATGACTAAGCCAATGCGACGCTCAGCAACCCCATTCTGCTGTGGAGAGGCCGGAAGCGTGAACGACTGGGTGATGCCGTGCTCCGCACAGTAGGCTGCCAAGAGGTCAGAGGAAAACTCACCACCTCTGTCAGAGTGCAGACGCAGGACAGGAAAATCCCGCCGGAACCGCTCGCGGAGCTGGAGACGAACAGCGCGGATCCAAGGGATCAAAACATCAGGGACGTCCCCCTTGCTCTGCAAGGGGAAGACCGTGGTGTAACGCGTGTAGTCGTCGACGACCAGCAGGAAGTACCGCTCGCGGCCCTGTCCCTGGACGCGGGCTGGGCCCCACACGTCCAGGTGGAGCGTCTGCAGGGGAGCCTCTGTGGGAGGAAACGAGGAGGAGTGAGGAGCGGCGCGCTGCCGCCCCTCGACGCAAGGAATGCAGGGCGGCGCAGGCGAGGGAGGGAGGGCAGGCAGAGACCTGGGAATTCCAGAGACCAGGGAGCGAGAGTGCATGCGACGCAGGCGAGGCAAGGAGGGGTGACCAAGACGGTGGTGCCACAGGAGAGTGTCGTGCGACAAAGCGCGACACTCACAGGGGGCCGCCAGCTGACCAGACGTAGACGCAGACGCAGCTACCTGAGGGGACTCAG